TGCACATACTAGGCAAGCAGACTTACCATTGACCTATGATGTACCTCCAACCCAAGGATTACTTCTTTAAGAAACAAACAAACAAACAAAATTTTCAGATTTTATATTCTGTTCCCTAGGTCCAGATCTTTCTAAAATTTGCTCTCCAGACAGATATAAGATTGTTAATTAATTCCAACATGCTATCTAATGGTGCTTTAAGGCTGGAATGCAGTTTGAGATACCATTATTTTTTTATCAGATAGGAAGTAAACAGTCCTAGTCGTGGAGTTACTTTCTCAGCTATAGGTGGAACATTTTAGGTATTTACAACTCAGTGTCTGTACATGATTTGCATATCTGCAAGAAACAGAACAATTGTCATTAAGTGAAAGCTTCAAGAGTATAACGTGATACACACACCCACTTGTGTCTAGAGAGCTTGGAGCCCGTTTGTACTGCAGTTGTATCCACAGGAAATATCTCATGTTAAATAGGGATTCATCATCTAAGTATAGTTTTGATAGAGAAATCAGATTGCAGTGTTTGAGTACAGATATATCTAATCTGCCAACAGCCTGGCAAATATTGACTAATAGCTTGTATGCTTGGTCACCTGCTCCTGCCAAGCCAGCTTTCCCCCAACTTGGCTCTGGTGTCACAGCATGGGTTCTCTCTCAGCCCTGGCCAGAGTGGAGTGAGTGGAAAGGGTCTGATGACAGCCACCCCCCCCCAGTTTTGCTTCAGGAAAGTGGAATTCGGAGTGCTGAAGGAAGATTCTCAGCTGGTGGGTGCCTGTGGGGGTTGCCAAACTTCACTCTTAAAAGAGTTTAAATTTCTCTTGACTTACTCAGATTTCTTTTCCCTTCTTATCCCACCAAATCACCCACACCTAGCCTTAATGTTAATGGTTAGACGGCAGTTGGAGCATTAATGGGGATGCCAGGGACATGGAGGCTCCAGCATGGGACTGAGATGCCAATAGGCCTCACTGAAGTTAAGGTGCTTCTCTGAAGTAACACCAGAGTCTGCTACTGTGGACTTATGGCCTTGAGAGTCTCAGCTTGCTTGAAACTGTTGAGAGAGTTCAAAGGGGGCCCTTCTCAGCTTTGACTGCTTCTGCAGAAATTTAGGGCAGAGAGTTGTCTGCTATTGGGCCATATCTCTACATCCCTCTATGGTATCTGGAGAGCTCAGTAAGAATGACTGGCACTGAGGAGTGGGTATCCCATGGGGCAGAAGACACAGAAATGAGTGGATTAAATCCTTGAAAGACAGGAAGAATATATTATGGCAGCCAGCATTTGATCTGTTCTTTATCTCTCCATCCTGGGCCAGACAGGTTTGGATTCTTGCTTTCCAGCATCTGACTCAGGTCATGGCTATGGAAGTCTTCCAGCTATACTTAGCCAGAACCTTAGAAGTGTGCTGCCACCAGCTTAAACTAGTACTCACTAGCTTAAGTGATTTGAACACTCCCATTCCTCATGAGAAAGTCTCTTGACTTAGGGCCTTATATTCTCAACAGACACCTTTTGGGTCCCTTCTGGAGAGAGAAGATGGGGACGCTCACATACAGTCTCCTGCAGTTCCACAAGTAAGTCCCCACACTTAGGGCCAGCTGAAGACCAACTCTCCAGGAATAAGATTATGGCATGCTCAGAACATTCAACATTCAGAAGTAGGACTTTTTAAGACAGCCTGTGAAAAGGTAGAACCATGTGGGCAAAGTCACCATACAGAAGGCAAGAATAGGGGTGGAGACTTGGAGGACAGTTTATTTGTGTTAGCCAGGTTCTCCTAAGCAGAACTGGTTCAGTTCAGTTCCTGCTGGTAGATGTGGAGTTATCTTAGGGGTGATTCTACAGAACAGTTTGCAGGGAGGGTCTCAGGCTGTCTTGTAGGTTAGCACAGGAGACTCCAGAGGAGTTCAGTGCTTCCCCCATTTCAGAGGCAATTAGATCATTTCCTCTTACATTTTTCATCTTTAGAAGCATATAATTTCATGTATCATTCAGCTATGCATGGAGGAAATGCATAAGTATGGGTTTGGCTAGGGCATTAGGTCTCTCCAGATTTTGCAAACCCTTGACCCACAACTTTGCAGAGGAGCACAGCTTTCCTAGTGGGCTGCCACTGAACAAAACCAACTGGACTCGGAGGAGAGACTTTAAGATTTTGTCAGGTAATTATAGGCCTTTTTGGTTTCTCCAGTGGCTCTGGTGTGTGCATGGGTGTTAGCAAACTCCGTACAATTGCACGCCATTAAAGAAATCTGCTGACTGATCAGATCTACTGACTAGCCAGTCATTCCTGGGCTTGGCTCTTGCCTTTTGATATCCTGGCCTGTGGGTCAGAGAGGCCTGGATTGGGTAACGGTAGGACATGCTGAATTCCATTTGTCTGTAGAAGACAGGCCATAGGGAAAGTTAAGTGGACACTAAGAAGACAGACAGTGTTGCTGTTCCCTTGTGCTTGGAGTGTGTGTAAAGACATGTAAGTGGAGATAAGCGCCTTTGTGTGGGGGTAACCCTTCCTAGTCCTGCTGGTAAAGCAGAAAACTCTGACCCTCTGACCCTGGTCAAGATCCCCTACTTTTCTTCCCCCAAATCTGAATGTTCTCCTTGGAAACCTGGTTCCTTCCATGATTCCCTATTTCAAATAAAAGATTTAAGTTGACGTATGACCACGTGAGCACATAATACTGCACATTATTGTGGTATTCGGAGCGGAGACCCAGGCAGGCTTCGTCTGTGATTACGTTTTCTAAATTCTCTTTAGAACGAGAGCTTTCTCCCCCACCCCCACACACCCACCTCCTCCTTCTCTTTCTCCGGAGCAGGCGCTCTGCTCTTCCAGCGGGTTGCAGTTTTCAGTTCTCATGGAGCAGTTCTGGGCAAGCTAGCGATGGAACTCCAGGCCATACCAGGAGGATGGAATTTATTTTAAGGTATTTCCTCTGATTGTTCATATCGAGAGTGAGTTATGGCTATGAGAGACAAAGGTCAGGCGAGGAGACACTGGATCATGGACAGGACCCCTCAGCCTCTGTCTTCCTTTGTTTCTGTTTTAGAACCGAAAGCATCTGAAAGATCCCAGGAGCTCCTGAGTTGAATTCCCTGGAAACATATTGTGAGGTGTAAAGGAAAGGGCACTTGGGGGCTACTAGATGGGCCAAGTACTCTCTAGTATTAGGGTTGCTTTGTGCCACTGCAACCGGCTGAAGTCCCAGAAGCTAAGCCCCAGGCAGAGGGAAGGCTCTGATGTCTGAGGTAGCTGGAAGCTATGGTCAGGCAGAGGTGGCTGGCAAGAGGCTAGAAGGGCCAGAGCTCATGGGGGCCAGTAGCTGAGAAAGGGAGTCCCTCTCTCCATTTGGCCAGCGTTTAGTGAGCAGGCTGGAGGGTTAGGGCTGACCTGGGCAGTCTGAACAGATGGAAGATGAAAATCAATGAGGAAAAGGTGCAGCTGTGCTGCCATTTTATTGGTGATGCTTCCAGCCACTTTGTTCAGTGTTCGGTTGCAGGGGCAGAGTTTCCCCTGCTCAGGACCCAAGGAGTCCAACCTGGAGGGCATACCATTGTTTCCACAGCAATATGTGCCTGGGAGTGATGGAGAAAGACAGCTCAGACCTAGGCGAAGCTAAGGGTGCTGGTGATCAGGCCAGTTGCCTGGAGGTTGGGTTGCTGTGGTTTTCAGAAGGGGCCTGGGGCTCACTTTGGGCTTCCATCAGTGTTTTTGGTTTGGGTGCTTTCCATATACCCCTAAGCAGCCTGAATTACAAATCAGAGGGAATTTTATGTATGTAACCTTTAGCAAGCAGAGACAGACATTTCTCTAGCTTTATATTCCCTGAAAGGTAGCTATTGCCAGCATGGAGGCAGATGAGTTAAACTGCTTGCTTCCAAAGTACTGGCCAGGCTGGGACTAATTGGGCTTTGGGGACCTTTTGCTCCGGGGAAGAGTGGAAAGCTCTGGAAAGGTGGAAGAAATTGGGTTTTACTTTGCTCCTCGGAGCAGAGAAAGGGATGCCTGGTGAGAAGTTGGAATCAAATTTGCTCTCTTTAATAAAGCAAAAAAAATCATATTTCTTTATTTAAAAAGACAAAAACAAATAAGGATTCCTCTACTTGAGAGAGATTTACTTTCCCAGGAAGGGCCGATTCTGCCTTCCCCACGCCAACCTCGGTGGTAACTATGCTTAACTGAGGCTGTTTCAAGTGCTCTAAAACACCCCTTGGAAATAAAATGTAAGCTTTAATTGCTGTTCAATTACTTGTCAGCATTTCGTATGATTTATGACCCAGTTCTGGTGCATTTCTGACCCAGTTAAAGACTCATAAATAATATAGTTTCGCAGGAAAGAAGGAGATATGGAGTAAAGGTTTGTTACAGGCGTCTTTTTATTGTGGCTTCAGTGTCAGCAAGCCGAATAAATATCTAATGACAGACTCTCCAAACTGGTTCTATATAAAAACATGCACAGTGAGAAGCCAATAACTGCTTTCATAGAGCACTTTTTTTCCCTCCCAGGAAAGAGCTAAAGCCACTCTGTTATGGCCAAACGATTAGCTATTAAAAAGACTGGTCCCCCTAGGCACTCAAAGCACCAGCTTCAACCAGAGTATTTATTTCCTCCATGCCTTCCCTCCCCATTCTTTGATTTTAAGGCATCTCTCTCAAAGTTACTCCTCACCTTTCTCCCTGACTTGTACAGATAGTATTAGAGCAGTGAGTCCTCTCAAGAGATGGGTAGAACACCCTTTGAATGGCTGAAAGGTTCCATCAGGTACCTTCGTTGCTCCAAGTACTCGTCTGAGCCTGAGAAAATGCTTTCTTCTAGTCCCTGTGGAAATCATGGGACTTAGGGAACCTCAGGGTTGATGAGCAAAGAAAAACTTGGCGGGTTTAGAGAAGCCGGGTGAACGGTGGGATTTGCCTAGAAAGCGACAGTGAGCAATTTCTAGGGGTGGAAATCAAATAGCGTATTTTCGATCACAACACAATAACAAACCAACAAAACCTGCTATTATAAATCATCAGTTTTAATAATCTCGCCTATGCTTGTCCCCAAAGCCAGCCTTTTGGATTTCAGGTGAGAGGCTTAAGGCCAGGGTAAGACCCGTGTCTTAAAATCAGAGTTCTATTTGGCCCGCCTGGGCCCACCGCCCAGAATCCACCTAGCTGCGGGTTGGTGGAGGCCCTGGTCTGAGTTGAGCTCTCACCCAAGCTCTCCCGCGGCTCCAGCAACTCCTCAGGTCGGGTCTGGTCCCAGCTCTTGGGTGGCTGGGCTTGATCTGGTCGAGCCGGAAGGGTACGCGTTGCAGATGCCCTAGCCCCTCGCTCCAACGCTCTCAGCCCCTTTGGACCAGATAGTCCACTCCTAGGTCTGGTTCTCACGGCCTTCCCTGCAGCTGGCTTAGTTGAGAAGGCGGTTAGAGTCGCGTCAGCAGTTTGGAGGAGAAAGTGCGGGTTGATTATTGACCCACGCCTTCTTTCTTCAAATGCCACATCCGACCCTGAGGGTTTGAAGAGAAAATGCCGCCGAGCGGATTTTTGCGGCCGGGTCTCACCTCCTACACGTCCCGGCTCTTCCCTTTCAAGTTGCGCCGCTGCAATATGCCGTAAGGAGCAAGTGTTTGCTGTTTTGTGCTCTGTTTACAGCTTTGGGGAGCCGAGTCATAAATCTTGCCCAGCCATAAATGACAAAAACCATTGGTATGCATGAGGCCACCCTGGCCCGGAGTGCTTTTTGATTTCTCCCTTTTCCCCTGGCTTTGTTTTTGCTCTAAGGTGACACTTTTGCTCCCTGACAGTTTAAACATACTACTTATATTTTTAACACCTTCCTTTGAGAAAGGACCCTTGTTGACGCCTCAGAATTGCGCGAAAGCGCTCTCTCTCTCTCTCTCTCTCTCTCTCTCTCTCTCTCTGTCTGTCTGTCTGTCTCTGTCTCTCTCTCTTCTACACTCCTGCCCTGGAGTTTGCTTCTGAAGCTAGAAAGCTTGGGGGGGGGGATTGGAATTGATCCCATCCTCTTTAAAGTTGTAGCATATTACCAAGCAAAACTGTAGGCCTTTGCTCAACCCAGCAAAAGGAAGGCCACAGCTGATTGGGGGGTGAAGTATCATGGATGTCCATTTGTGCTGGTGTCAGAGCCTTATCTATCTTCCTTGTAGGCGACCTCCTTGCGTGCAGCACTATGAAATGGGCACGCAAGGGGTGCAGACTCAAGTTTCTAAGTATCTTTGTGTCTGCCTGAGCTCAGAGAGGTTCATTTTACTGTGGAGACAGTCCTCTGTCTCCCCAGGACACTTCTCTGCTTTCAGCCTAGAAATATAACCAAAGGTAGTTGAGTTGCACTTGGGGAGGTGTCTGGAAATAGGGCCTATCCGCCTATCCCTGCACCGCAGAGACTGGCTTTGGGGGTGTCTGTATTGGGAGCGGCAGGTGAAGTAAACTACACAAAGTCAGGACAACTCATTTCTCCTTCTCCCCCACCCCCCAGGAAAAATGTTCTGGGCAGGGAATTGCGTGGTTTCTCAGACAGATTCTTAAGAAATAGAGCCCCGCAAGAGAGCCCCTTTGTGAGAGCCGTTTGTCCTCATTAGCATAATTTTCCTGGACTTTAGTGACGCCTAGGAAGGAGAGGGAGGGCGTGGGGTGGGGGAGGCCGCCCTCCTCCCGCTGCCGCCGAGCTCGCTCTGCTCCTGTTCCTCCCCTCGCTTCAGCCCCATCCCCCACGCCGGCGCTTCCTTAGCCGCTCGGCTCTCCCCTCCCGCCCGCCCCGGCACCCCTTACCGCACCCCCCGACCGACCCCTGCTCGGCGCAGTATTCATAAGAAACATACCCAAGTCGGTGCCACTAGCCCCGCGGAGCCCGGCCGCGCCAGCGCTTATCTGGGGCCGCGGCCGCGGGCAGGGCGGGGGCGGGCGTGGGGGAGGGGAGGGGAGGGGGTCCAGGAGCCCCAGTCCGCCCGGGGCCAGCCGCCCGAGCAGCTAGTCGTCCCGCTCTCCGCCGAGCCCCGGCCTCGGGGGTCTCCCGCCAGCCCGCCCGCCCGCCGGCTCGGCGGATGCTGAGGGTCGCTGGCCATCCCGCGCCGAGGGGACCCGGGGCCGCAGCCCAAGCCCGAGCGGCGGCCGTCAGAAGTTAAGGTAAGCTGGGCCACCGCCGGCCTCTCTCAGCGCTGAATGGTAGAGTGTATGTCTGGGTGATTTATGGCTGCAGACTTAAATCTCGGTTCAAGAAGAGTTCACAAGCCGGAGCTTCCTCGCCGGCAGTGACTGATACCCTCACACTTCAGTTCAGGCCGCGCTCCCATCCCCGCCCCCACTCTCCCCTCTTCCCCTAGCCCAGCCTCAACTTTTCTGGGTTGGTGAGAAAGGGAGGAGTGGGTTGGGAAAGCAGGCTCCTACCTCGACGTCCCCTTTCAAACTCGGGTGAGGGCAGCTAAGGGAAGGAGAGGAACCGGAGTCTGGAGAAGGAGGTGGAATTTGGGCATACCTTGTGCAGAGACAACAGGGCTTGCTTCCTGTACTCAGTACAGCCTCCTCAATTCGCTTCAGCTCTTGCACCTGGAGGTTGTTGTCCAGGAACAGATCATTGCGGAGGAATCTCCCTCCACCCTCAACCCTTGCTTGGGGGGACAAAGCAAAGTTTCCTGGCTGGCAAACCTCCAACTTCTTTACTAGGTTGAAAACTTTAGGGGCTGGAGGGGGCGGGTTGTGTGGGCTCGAAGGTGATTGCGGACCTCAAACAATGGGATCTCTAAGTTGAATTCCCGTTTTAAGTTTGTGAACGCTGCCTTATGCTCTTTGATTTTTAAAAGATTTTTGTTGTCGTTATTTTAAAAGACAATATACAGTCTGATGAAAAGGCTTAAGTATGCAGCAGGCTGGTATAGCCTGTGCTAATGGCTTAGAAAGTCACTAGAAATGCTGCACGTTCAAAATGAACTCAATTTTGTTTCATCTAATATCTTGCTGTTCAGATGTCTAGAGTAATTTTCTTAACGTGACATTTTACCTTAATCAAACTTGGTAACTCAAAAATGTATGATGACAGGCATTAACACTGCCAATTATAATAGGAACTGTTTTCAGTGTAAGAACGAGAAAAGTAGACATTAAATTGTAATTCACTTTAAATTTTATTTTACCCCTTATTTACTTTCCATAATGTTATCTGTAGCTTCCTAAATATTTCCAAAAGGAAAACAACACTCCAGGGTTCATGACCATGCACAATAACTCTGGATAAGTGTTGCTCTGCTTCTTTATTGAGGTTCTGGAAAATTAATTGTGCCTGTTTTCCAGATGTTGATCAGACTGTTGGTTTAATAATGATCTAAGGGAGTTCATTATTAAAAACAAAATTATAACCACTCATTGGTGGATGCTTGTTATATTGTTTTTTTTCTGGTTGATGTCTGCTATTTCTAGAAAAGTTAAATGACTGGGATTAAATAGCCATAGTTGGACTTTGAAATGTAAAACATTATCTGTATGGATTTGTTGGTAATTTTCTTCATGGTCAGAGGGACTAGCATTCTGAGTGTGTGTGTGAGTGTGTGTGTGTGTGTGTGTGTATGTATGTAAGACTCACAAGGAACTTTTCCTGCTGGGAATTAGAAGTTTCTCATGCAAAAGTTGAAAACCAAGAGAGCACAGATATCACTCTTACAAACTGCTTTCTAAATAAAAGAGGTTTTTAGTTGTTTCTTAGGTTTCTCTTTACTTAGTATTTCTGAAGGCGGTAAATAGACCCAATAACAAATATGATCAACAACAGTATACAAAGATCAGGGAAGTCTGGCAGGAGTTTATAGTTTGTGCTTGCATGCCGCCTCTGGAGCCAAATGACCCCCATACATCAAATTGCATAGCAGTTTCTAAGACAGAACCTATTATCGTTAAGTTGGAAGGAGAGTTCAAGCCGTGGTCATGGAGATGAACGCTGGTTTTTCAGGTTCCTGGTGGGTTGTTTTTTCCCTCTAATCCATCATGTTTTAACAGGTAGAATTTGATAGTTGCCCAGAATAACAGCACCTCAGAAAGTCCAAGGCAGGAGAGTCTGGGAACCTCCTGTAACTTGGAAAAAGAGGTTGGGGGTGGCTTGTTTCAAGGAGCCTGAAAAACAGGATAGGAGAAAGGGTATAGAAAGTCACAGGGTTTGAGTGGTAGCTTGTGGGTGGGGTGGTGGTGGTGTTAGTCATTCCCAACACATCCCCCAGAGAGAGAGAGAGACAGAGAGAGAGAGGGAGGGAGAGAGAGAGAAGTCACACCCAAAGTTTTCTCTCCCTCATACCCACTTCTTGACCTCATAGGGTTCCTTTGGAGGAGGTTGGTCCTCTACCCTGAACTAAAGCAGGGTAACTGCCTAACAGGCTCAGCTTCTAAAGTCCATCATTGGTCTGATAGGTCAGTTGCCCCCCCCCCGCCCGGTGTGTGTGTGTGTGTGTGTGTGTGTGTGTGTGTGTGTGTGTAAACCTCCTTTGAGGGCTCCAGGAAAAGGCTGTCTAGGAATGAAGTCTGAATATCTTAGGTCTTTGGGGCAAATATAAATCCTAAAAATGGAGATTAGAGAAAAATGGCGACCCCTTGCCCTCTTGAGAGTTTCCCCAAGATATCAAGAGAGCCTCAATTTCTACAAAGGTCCATCAAGGTTTCTACTGGAAAAGAAAGACCCCAACCTAGCCTTCAAAGCTTTCCTCAGTTTGGACCTCGACTCCAGAGACCCAGCTTCCAGCCCTTACTGGTTCAGCTCCTCTCTCCGCGGAAAATCCCCCAATTCCAGACGCAAGTTAAGCAAATATTTGTAGCTGCCAGTAAATTCCAGCAGCTTTTTATAGCGAGGCTCCCTGCGCCCGGGGCCACGTCGTGCTGCTAAATATTGCTGACCACTTTTTCTTTTATGGCTTTCATGTCACTTAGCTATTGAGAGTAAGATGGATTTGCGCGGAGCCCTCACCGCGCTGCACTTCTCCCCCCCCCCCCAGGTTTGCGCGCGGCGGCCATTGGCGGCAGACTGTCACGTGACCGCGGGGCGTGCCAATGTGCTCCTTTACGGGTGTCAAGCCCCTGTCAGAGTGTGCGATCACGATCGTGAAACATCGCGATGCAAAAAGCGACCTACTACGACAGCTCGGCGATCTACGGTGGCTACCCCTACCAAGCAGCCAATGGGTTCGCTTACAATGCCAGCCAGCAGCCATACGCTCCGCCTGCGGCTTTGGGTACCGATGGCGTTGAGTACCACCGACCCGCTTGCTCCCTCCAGTCCCCCACCAGCGCTGGAGGCCACCCCAAAGCTCACGAACTGAGCGAAGCGTGTCTGCGCACCCTGAGTGGCCCTCCTAGCCAGCCCCCAGGCCTGGGTGATCCGCCTTTGCCTCCACCTCCTCCCCAGGCAGCTCCCCCAGCCCCACAGCCTCCACAGCCCCCACCACAGCCCCCTGCGCCCACCCCTGCAGCTCCCCCGCTCCCCTCTTCTGTCTCTCCCCCTCAAAGTGCTAACAGCAACCCTACCCCTGCCAGCACAGCCAAGAGCCCCCTGCTCAACTCTCCCACAGTGGGCAAACAAATTTTTCCCTGGATGAAGGAGTCCAGACAGAACACTAAACAGAAAACCAGCGGTTCCAGCTCAGGTAAATGGGTGCCTTGAGGCGGGGCCTATGGCCAAGCTCTGAGCCCTAAGCCTCCTTTAGCAGTTACCAGCACAGCCTAGGAGCAGTGGAACTTTCTGTCTCCCCACTCTTCCCCCCCCCCCCATGCATATACACACAAGGAGAAAAATGTTTCCAGAAGTTTTGCTACCTAGGGAGGTGATAAGGTTTCTATGGCAAGGATTCCCCCAGACATAAACCTGACTGAAGTCCCTCTGGACCTCTCTAAGGCAGTTTGAGCCTGGTGAAGTTGGAATCTCTCCTTGCCCCAGTGTAGGGAGTTGTGACCTCTAGGTAGAACCATCCTGAGGGCCTCTGTCTCTCCAAGCAAAACTCCTTTTTTCTAAACAAACAGTGGCATCCTCCCCATACAGCAATGTGGCAGAATAAACGCAGGCCTAATCATCACCCAAGTCAGAATCAATGCTTTGTCTATAATCAGAGCCAGTGTTTGCTGTAGCAGATGGAGTGGCTGCTTTACCTCTGGGAAGGCCTTGCTCAGTCTTAGTACAATGAAGGAGGCAGCCAGGCATCTCCTGGGGGGAGGGGATTCAGCTTATCATCCTAATGGTAACCACTTGGGGCTCTGGGAACTGGGCTGCAGTGAAGGAGCCTCAGTCTCAAGGCCTTGGGCTTCCAAGCCTCTTGGTTACCTTGGACCCTCCCTCTCCAGTTTCCATTGCTCTCCCCTGAGCCTGAGGGTCTAGAACACCCAGAGTCGGTATTTGGGCATCCTAGGATGACAGGAGTCACAAAGATGACAGGCCGAGCTGGACAGCCTGCTTGATGACATTGAGAGCCCTAATGACCAGGCCTCCTCAAGGTCCTGGGCCTCCCTACCAGGACTAGACTGAAGTTGTCTAGACTGAGGTCTGGTCTCCTTCCGTCAGAGAAGATCTTCCAGTTTGACCTCATCACTCTGTCCATCCCCTCTCTGTACATGCAACGCTGGTTAGTTAAAGCTAATGGCTGATCACTCTCAGACACACAGGGAGGATAAAGGCCTTCACGCATACACTAAGTCTCTTACATTTCAGCAACTGAAGGAACAAAGATAGTGACACCTGCCTACAGGAAGCTTATTGTCTGATGAGTCAGTGAATAAGCCACACAAGTAAAGGGTTAGAGAGGAAGTGCAGGCAAGCAGGAGGCCCCGCTGCTCTGTCTTCCCGTTGAAGAAGCCCTTAGAGGAAGGAAGGGCAGGCTAACTGGGCTGTTTCAAGAGGGTCAGCGGTCCTGCTCCTCTCTGGTGTGGACAGAGGCTTCGATGGGGTGAAGAAAGGAGGGGCTAGGCTAGGGCTGGGAAGCTGGGCGGG